TGAGCAACCAGACAAGATACGTGTTTTTGAGGATAAGCGAATGTTCGGAGCTATCAAGCTTGCGTGGGATACGACCATCATCGGTCTCAAAAGCATTCTCGAGTGCGCGCAGAGGCACCCCTGGGTTTACCGGACCCGGCACATCACAAGCCTCACAAAGGAGACCTCGATAATGACCTGAGGCTGGGGTGTTTCCAATGTGGAAAGCCCCCGCAATGACACGATATTGACAGTGATTCAAGTCCAGATTATTGTCATTGGCAAAAACCGGTATGCTAATGATCCCATCAAGCTCAACAATCCCTTTGAATTTGCGCACATGGCGGTGTGACCGCTGTCGGAAGCGACCGAGCTGCACAAGGATTAAGGGCGAGGCAAACCCCAAAGCATGAACATCATCCTGCTGGCACCAAGCCTCAACGCACTGTTGTATGGTGCATGCATCCTCTGGAATTGGCATTGTGATTGGGAGATGCAAAGGGCCGCGGTCCACTTCACGGCCCTCTGGGACTGCTGGGGTCTCAGCTCTAACTCTGGCAAACCAAAGGCCTTGCATCATGCCAGTCCGCAGCTTAGGCAATGCATGCATGGCAAACTCACCTATATCATGTTGTTGCTGGGGTCGTGACCACTGTTGCAAGACGGCGCTCCAAGCAAAGACCCTCGACAAGCGATCATATGAGCCCGAAAGCAATGCCTGAACAAGGCCTGAGCATCGACCTAGTCGTGCATCGATGTGTTCCCCGACCTCACGCGTGTAAGCATGCAAGGTGGCCCATAGCCAAGTCATCACGAAGGCATTCTGGTAACAAAGGTTGCCATGATTGTGCCGTTTTAGGGCCAGCACCCGCCGGAGAGCAGCTCCTGAAGTTTCCGCGCAAGTGGATCTCTCTTCAGCCCCTGTGGTCGGAGTCTGGCACCCACCAGCATCCAAATCGCGGAGCTGCACAGAGTCTCCAGAGCCTCGTGAACCTTCATCGCCTCGGAACCTTTGATCGAGGTCTCCAGCTTGAACTCGAGCACCTCGCCGGTGTATTCCTCCGCGAGCTGCCGCGTTGGATGAAAGCGCTGCACGATCTGCCCGCTGGCCAATGCCAGCAGCGTCTCGAGCGCCTTCACCGCATCTGAGTGTGGGAGCGGTCCCACATCTGGACACACGATCTCCTTCTGCTGAGTCACACTCCAGACCAATGGCATCCAAGCTGGCTCCCGTCCGTCCTTCTTGACAATCCAATTGTATTGAATGAGCAGCTGCACCTTTTCCTCCACGCTCAGCACCGCTTTGGCCCGCGTGAGGAGTTCTAGGAGGATGCCCTTGAAGAGAGCCATGCGCTTGGGACAATCGGTCTTCCCTGCAGCCTGAAGTTCCTTCCATCGCACTGAAAGATCGTTGACTGTCGATAGCATGGTCTCCCCGCCTGTGGTCTTGAAGATCATCGTGTATGCTCGATCTGCCTGAAGAATGTTGATTGAGTCCTCGTGCCTCAAGCATAGCTTGGCTATCAACGGGATCAGCGATTGTTCTGGTGCTCGCTCCGAAGAAGCCTCTGATGTCTCGCGCTGCCTTTTTGATTTGTTCTTGCCTTTGCCCTGGCCTTTCTGGAACTTTGCTGGTCTCTCTGGCTTCTTGTTGTCCTTCGGTCCCATATGTGCCTGCCCTGTCAAGGGTGTCGCAGGGGGTCTGGGATTCTTGTTTTGAGATCCCTGTGCTCCTGTTCCGTCCTCGAGCATGCTGACTGCTGGTAGCACTGCCCCGAACAGAGATGAAACACCCTCCTTGGTGAGCTCGGTCATATGCTCTGCAAGAAAAGGCAGCCTGAAACAAGACCGGGCAGCCAACAACATGCCTGGACTTCCTCGTGAACGGCTGCTCACAAAACTCACATGGAGTAAGGATGGCACCGACAAGTCCCCGGCAGTCGGCCAAAGCAAGCTCTTGGCAATCGTCAAAGATGGCTTTGTGAGACTTTTGCAAGTGATACTTGATGTGTCTAGGATCGGAGAACCATTGCCTACAAAGACAGCATCGTGACATGAGTTCGCCCCTAAGGTCCGGAACATTGCGTATCCGATCAAGAAGCGTCTGAACGCCCCCATGTGCAATGTCACAGAGAAGCTGCCCTCTTTGAGCAACAGGTTCAGGTTCAGGCAATGGCTTTGATGATGGCGGTGGTGGTGGTGATGAAGGTGGCGGTGGTGGCACGCTGCTGTCATCATGCGCAATTGTTGCACCAGCTGTGGGCACACTCCCATCATTTTGCAGTGTCTGGGCTTTTGGACGCAGAAGTGCACGTAGGGCCGGACATCTATCGTTGGCCACATGCCGCAAAAGGGTCTGGAAATGATGAAAGTGCCGGTGACAGCCTCTGCAAATCGGCATTCCATCAATGCAAAAGTCTTGGCGGGACAGGGTGTTTATGTTAATTGGTTGGGTGGGCGCGATATCCGGGTGCTTAAGGAGCACAACAGGGTCTTGAAGACTGAGAAGTTTGTACACTTCCTGATTTGTGGTTTGCGTGATATGCCTCGGCGATTTTGCAATGGCACGAAGCTGCGTGTTCACGAGTCCCATCGCCTTCGACAAGACGTACCCTGAACAACCACAACAGGTCCAGCCGTACACCAAAGTCGACCAAATGCACGCGCGCCAAATATGAGCGCGTCTTCTCAGGCCCAGGCATCGGGAGGACGTTAACACACTGCGTAACCTGGAGAACTGTGTCTTGGCAGATTCGATGCGATGCTGTACCGTGAGACTCTCAAAGTCATACAAGGAGATCACACAGCCCAAGTACACGTGTGACCGACGGACTGGCACATGCAAAGGTTTATCACTCAGCCAACTGATGTAGGCGCCCTTGCTGCTAGTGTGCATGTGTTGTGTCAACAACCTGCGACCTTCGGGGTGTGCCATCCGAATGAGCATGGCAGTTTTGGTCACATTCACTCGCAACCCGAATGGGGCAAGTTTTGAAAGGAATTTGGGTACGATCTGCAAAGCCTCAAGGAACTGCTGCTTCGTGTGAAAAATTTTGCTCAAGAGAAAATCGTCGGCGTAAATTTGAAGGTCAGTGAGTGGGATGATCGGTTCCAGTTGGTAGGCAACATAACAAGTGAAGCATGTCCAGATCAGCGGGGACAAAGTACATCCTTGCCTGATGCCACGCTCGGTCACGATGCGTAGATTTATGTGTGCATGCTGAAGGTGGTATGTAGAGCCGGTGAGCCATTCCATAATGATGTGTACTTCGTGATCCCCAACCCCTGCTGCCAGCAAGGAATCTCTCACAAGACTTCTGGGAACAGCGTCGAAAGCCATTGACATGTCAAGCGACAAAATGTAGCCTCCTGAGTACGGCGCAGAGGTGTGCCCACTTCTGCGCGCAAAGATGCTGTTCCCGGCTTGCTGGGTGAGCTGCCTAATTTGTCGACATCTAGCAAACACACTCAACAGGGCACCCTCTGTTGATCTCTGCGGCAAGTAAGCGTGTTGCGGGCAACGGTATGCGTACTCCTGCACCTTGTGGCGTATGCTGCAGGCTAACAGTTTGATTACAGCTTTACCACAAGGGTCTTGTAGGCACAGAGGGCGGAAATCCCCAGGGCAGCGGCCTGGTTTCTGCGGTTTGCGCATAAGGAAGAGCCACCCGTCCTTCCAGTGCTGAGGAACGGGGGCTCCATTCCAAATGGACTGCACTGTCTTATGCACGTACGGTGCTAGGATGCCTGCGGTGGCACGCCACGCCGCACCTGGTGCGAAGTGTGAGGCGCAGGCCTTTTTCGGACGCACTGTGAGTGAGCACAGCTAGCGAGATAATTTACAGTATAGCGCAGTGGCCATACCGGCAACTCAAGGTTGCGGTTCTAGCAGAAATCCCGTGGCGAACCACAAGCAGATTCCAAGCCTCGGCACGAATGCCAAGCAGGCTGGAACGTACTACAAAGGAGTGAAAAAGTAACTAATCCAAAAATTGACAAGCCACAGCAATCACATGCAGCACTACATGATGCATCACGTCAGTCAGTGCAGCACTCACTCAGAAGTTGATATGGCATGAAAGAAATTTGCACTGCATTGCCAAAGCTCCCACTGCACAGTAAAAGCTCGCAGAAAAGTTGTAAGCGGTATCACGCCAATCGGATGCACCACAAGAGATACATGTTGCACGAAATGGCATGCACGTCCCCCTCAAGAACTGGAGCAGCATCGCAACCATCATCAGTGTACAAGGCACCTTTGTAGATGTGAGTTGTATCATCCGCGTGCTCGCCAGTTCCTAGTGCGTTCTCAGATGAGCCCTGAGCCATCAGTACCGCACGATAATGACCTGTGGACGGTGTATTTCCCAGGTGCACAGAAATAGCAGTGACACGATATCGATGATATGCAGGATTTGCAGTGCCTGGTCGCTCCCGACATGGTATGTGGACCCTGCCATTCCCCAGCATAACCTGATGCAGGAGTTTGCGAATCCGGCGTCGACCATGAAATCGCAGTATCTGGATGCACAGCAATGGCGGGGCCTCAAAAATAAGTCGCCGCATGCCTTCCCCAGCATCTGTCCAGCGATCTATCAGCGCCTGCAAGGTAGTCGACTGCATGCTGTTTACATTGTCCAAGTGTACCATCACCGGCCCATGAAAGTCACCAACATCGCGTACCTCCCCAGTCGCCGTAATCATATGCCAAGCGCCCTGCATGGAATCTGGCCGAGCCTGCTGCATAACATGTGTCATGAACTCACCAATATCATGTTGTCTCTGAGGCTGACGCCATTGCTGTATCAGTGAGGTCCACATCAAACACCTGTTCATCATGATGCGTCGCACTCCGCTCATCAGAAACTCGATCACTGGCTGCAGCCTGCCATGAAAACCCGATGGGACATCCTGTAGTGGCACATTGCAGCCTGCAGCACAATGGGATGCCCACATGTATGAAAGTACCAAGGCATGCTGGTAGCAAAAGTTGCCATTGTTCACCAGTTGAAGGCCTGCAATCACTGTTGAAGCAGTTTCTGGATCAGAACCGCCAATGGGCTCCGCTTGATGCGCTCCCGCACCAGATTGGCTCCCATGAGCTTCATAGCCGCACACTGCGCCATACTCGACAGAGCTTGGTACATCTTTTGCGCATGCGCTCCTCGCAGGCTGACCTCCAGCATGAAGCACACTGACGGCCCCTTGAAGGTCTCCACAAGCGGCCTGGTCGCGTGGTAGCGGTGCAGTGTCAAATCCGACGCATGATCGAGTAGCGTCTGCACCGCCTGGACGATTTGAGCATGTGGAATGGGATCCAACGTGGGATGAGGCACATCCTTCTGCTGCGTTGCGTCCCACATGAGATATTTCCACTTGTGCTCTGTCCCCTCCTGATAGAGCCACCCCTGCGCAATCAACCCCTGCATCACTTCCGCATGGTCGATCTTCTGAAGTCGTGACATGAACTCCTCCATGAAGCTCTTGAACAAGATCACACGCAGGGATGATTCCACCTTGGGCGGCACCGCATCCCTGGCCTCCTTCCATTTCTCGCTGATCCTGAACATGTCGGCCAGCATACACTCCGGCACCTGCGTGCGCATGTGAATCAGAAAGGCTTTGTCCAACCGATCCAGGCATTGTTGATCCTCCAATCGGAGTGCCAACCTGGCAGTGGCCCGTAGCAACTCCATTACATGGGGGGGGTAGTCCTCCTCCGGGTCCTCGGTGGAATGCTCGGAAGAAGGTGCCGATGTCTGTGCCTTTCGCCCCCGCTGTCGCCCGTTGCCTCGGCCCTGCCCCTGACCTTTGCCCGCTCCCTGCTTCTGCCACTTCGTTGGTCTCTGCGGACGCTGCGCCGATGGTGTTGTCCTTTTGGGGACTCCGTCCGTTCCCACAGGCTCGCCGGTTTCCATTTGTTGAGTGTCCCCGCTGCCCTTGTTGGGGAGGAGGTGGCGAAAGAAATCCATCTCCTGTGTTGACATGGCCCCCGTTCTGCGCAACGCGAAGCACTAGCAAGGTTTGAAAGAGCACACCACAAAGTTTAGCATGTCTAGGCCGGTTTGAGGAATTGATCTTGTCCGTACCACAGTATCCACACGGCACAGTGATGGAACGACCAAATGCAGCACAAAGGTCATCAATCTCAGCATGAAACTGATTCCATATGTCCCGATGGCTCTGCCTGATGTGCTGCTTAACCTGCCTAGTATCTGCTATCCACTGACCACATAGCCCGCAATTTTGCAAAATCTGTGGTCGCACTTCTGCTGCTATGAGTTCGTGCTTCAGCTGCTGATCCACAAGGCGCTGTAGCAGCACGTGTTGTTGGAGCAACGGTTGTGCAACCTCCACAGTATCCGCCACTGCAACGACTGAGGCACCCACAGCTGACCGACTGTGCATTGCCGGGCATCGCCCAAGTGTGACATGTCTTTTAAGCGTCTGCCATCCATGGAACTTTTTCAAGCAGAAACGGCACGTGGGCATACCATCAACACCCATATCCGAAGCCTTCATCTCGCTCACTTCCTCCCGTACCTGCCGATGCAGGTCTGCATGTTGGTGTCCAATATGAGTTGTAACAGCAAGCTCAGAGATGAAGTAGAGGCCACAATGAGGGCACGGCACTCCCTCACCAACACCACTCAGTCGCTGCAATCTCATGTGCGACCTTGAGTCGCTGCCCGCATGTTGATCCCACTGCTCAAGAGACCACTCCGCCTGCGCAACCATGTCCTTGGTAACTGCACCTTGGTCCACCTGCCCATAGAGCTGCTGTAGTCTGGTATATTGCGTGCGCGCGATAGCTTTAAGCATGTGAACAGGATCATCAACCCCCAGCCTAGCAAACAGCGTTTCCGTAGTCTCACCAGTAATGTGCCTAGGCGACACCGCAAGCGCACGCATGTGCGTAGCAATGAGCCCCCGGAGCGTAGTGGCGCCCGAGGCCGTGACCCCGACACTGGAAAGCGCATAGCGTAGCGCCGACCACACACATGTCCACCACATCCGTAGCCTCCCTGGCAGCGACAATCGTTTCCGACTGCGTAGAAATGGCTTTAGGCGCGTGTACGCATTCTTAGCTGCAGAAATACGGTGCATGAGCGTGCAGTCCTCGAAGCCATAATAAGTCGCCTTGATACCCATATATTTGTGCTCCTTAACAACCGGCAAATGGAGGGTGGCATGCTCTGTCGGGATTTTAATGTACAGTTGTTCATTACCCTCACGATCCTTGCGCTTGTAGGTGTTCTTCGCCATAGCCATGGATGATCGAGTGCCCGCAATCCTCATGAGCACCACAGTTTTGTCCATACTAACCTGTAGTCCCTGGTCTTGCAAATACTGGATGATAACACCCATTCGCTTTAGCGCATGCTCAAAGGCCTCGTAGTCATGAAGGGTTTCCAGGTGCAGGAAATCGTCCGCGTAGAGGTCCAAGTCTGCAATGGAAACACCCCGCGAGACAAGGTCCCGCACCATAGTTCCCGTGACACATGTCCAAATCAGTGGTGAAAGGACACACCCCTGCCTGATACCCCTCGTCGGGGTGAGTGTGAAAGCATCCCCTGCATGAGTGATGTGATACGACGAGCCAACTAGCCATGCCATGATCAGTGAAATGAGGCCGGGCCTTCAACGAGTGGCTCTCCAACCGCCGGTTGCGGCAGGAGGGCGAGACCTACGCCGACGAGCTCGGCCGGATGACGGAGGCGGTCAACCGCCGCATCCCGCAATTGCGCTATGCCCCGGCGGAGCGGCGGGGCGTTCACAGGATGGCTCGGGACGTGGCGGCAGGTAGAAACACGAGCGACTCCCAGGTCTATGGCGGTCTTATGTGAGATGAAGCTGGACCTGAAGCGCGAGGGCATGTGGGTGCTCTCCAGCCCAGAGGCTGAGATCCCGCTGGCTTACCAGCACGAGCTGGCGGTGGGCCCGCCCCCAAAGGGTCCTGGTGCGCTACGAACCCGAGAGCAAGACGGTCCTGAGCTACCTGTGCGAAATCGTCCAGCGGGCCAGCGAGCGCTCGTACTTGGGCAAGCGAGGACTCAAGATCCATGTAAATGGAGGAGCGTAGACAGAATGGTTTCCGCGTCAAACCCTCATTTGGTCAGGTCCTCGGCTACTTTTTGTCACTTTGCACGCAGCATGTATATGCCTTGCGACAGGGCTCGTGTGGCAGGCATCAGCCCGGCACCTTAAAGATGCGAAGGTGGCGATTCCACCCCCCATGCCCAGGGAACAGCTACCTCGTAAGGTCCTAGTGAGCATGATGCAATTGATCACACTCGAAAGTAGGTACAACTAACTACAGTGCACCCTCACTCAACTCTCAGCTCGAATACATATCACAGCATACACTTCAGAGTAATGTTGCGAAGACGGGTGCACAATACATTCCGGAGCTTTGTTGTCATCGCAGTGCCACATACAGAAGTCATCAATAAGCATGGTGGTGTAATGGCCGCTCGCCGGAGAACAACCGCGATGACAAATCACTGCAACTGGCTTGTAAAGTACATAATGCACGTCCGATCTGTGTACATCAGAGAAAATAGGAATGTTGAAGTTGTCAATCATGTGTTTTACAGCCACTTGCAACCTTCTCAGGCGGCCCGATGAATCATTCCGGAATCGCATGACCTGCATCAGGATAAGATGGGGAGGCCGATGAAAAGCGCATACGGTTGCATGTGTAGCCACCTCCCAATGTGAGATCATCATATGAATGGAGGATCTGTGCCTCGTCGGGTGCAGCGTCATCACGTGTCCAGTGTCATGTACAACGACTCGATTGGCCTCCTGAGTTCTGACCTGCCATGACCCCAACAGGTTTATAGCCCCGACCTGAGTCAAAACGTAGGTCCCAAACTCAACAACGTCATGTTGATCATCAGGCGAAGCCCAAGCTCGCAGCAGATCGCGACAAGCATTTTGAGCCAGAAGTCGCACCTGTTGTCCCCGCTCGACCTTCACGCGAATTTCCGCAAAGCCCAGCTGTAAAGAGTGCATATGAGCCTGAGGATGCGGACCAGAGAGATCAGAAGAGCCTGCCACCGTAGTCCAATACATCGACCTGAACCAGGAGTTAATGTAGCAGTGATTGGAAGAATTGCAAAGCTGCATCGCCTGAATTAGACGTTTGCCAGTCTGCGAAGGAGTTCTTGTACCGCCGGGGCTCGTTGCAAATTCTCCTTCCTGTACTGAGCACCTATGAGTTGCCACGCCGTGTTGCCCTGATAGTCCAGCAGCCCTTGGAATACTTGGGTGCCGTTGGGATCGCGAATCGAGAGATCCTGAACAAACACTGCGACCCCGGTCTCGTACTGATCCAGTTTGCGCGTGGAGCAAAATCGATGAAGCACTGGACCCTCGTCCACCATTCGAAGCATATTCTTGATCGAGGTGACCAATGTGTGATGAAGTACCGGGACCTTGGTCTTGTCCTGAACCAATGTGCGCGTTTCTTTGCACCACTTCTGATACACCCATTTCTGCTCCGTGGTGAGCCAACCCGCCTGCTGGCATCGAAGCGCCACGGTTTGATCCTTTGCAACCTCGTCCAGCTTTATCAGCAACTTCTGCAGAATGGCCATGAACATAATTTCTCGAAGAGGTCGATCCGACATCTCGGTATTTTCCCTGCCATGCCATTTCGCTGCCACTGCCTGCAAGTACGGAATGATCGAAGTTGTGTCCGGAGTCCCGTCCCCGGTTTTCACGAACCAGACCAGACCCGTATCCAAGCGTAGAGTCTGAATAGCATCTTCGTGCCGCACCGAAGTGCGGACCAATAGTCGAACAATCTGCATCAGTTCGTCGATTGGTAGCTCCGTCTGTTGATACTGGCTTTGGTGACCCTGTTTCGACCCTTTGGCTTGATCTTTGCCTTTTCCTTTGCCCTTTTGCTGTGGCGTTGCCGGTGTCCTTGGTGCTTTGTTGGGTAGACTCTGACGATCTGCTTGACGCTTTTGATTGATCGACTCCCCTAGCATGGATATGTCCGAGTTCTCCAGTCCGCCGAAGAATTCCTCGATCTGTCCCGCCCGATCCACGTCCATGGTCATGACACAGGACTGCGCACTGGAAAAGAGGAGTACACTGCTTGGAATGCGCCGTGGCTGCGCCCTGCCCTCCGACTCGAACCACACCACAATAGCGACACGGGGATACAATCTGCGCATGATGACGCCGAAATTCAACAGAATAGGTGCTAAGTTCATCCCACCGATCGCCATGTGTATTGCGATAGTGATTCTTCATCATGAAAGTGTGAGCAATCCATGTGTGGCAAATGACGCACCTGTTTTGCATTTCCTCGAATATACCGGGTACAAGACGCAACCCCTCAAGTCCACGATCAGCAATAGCCTGAATCACCTCAGAGCGTTGCGTTATCGGGACATGATCCTGGACTGCAAGTGCCTTCACATCGCTAGGCGCAGAGAGAGCGGGTGCATCATGCTTGGCGAACACGGGACACCAGCCTTTGTTGATGTGCTTTCGAAGAATATCCCACCTTCGGAATTTAGCACCACAGCCAGAACATGTGGGGAGACCATCTCGGGAGTGCACTGATCGATCAAAAACCAGACCAGCTTCGCCCTGAAACGCAGGAACCACAGATAGATCAGAGGATGGTATAGAATGAGCGACGACTTGTGAGGGCGCCTGAACCTCCGGTGCCGGACTCAATGGTGTACTGACTGCATCATCAACAGGTGTACCTGCGGTTGTGATATCAGGCTGCACCTGTGTAGTGGACGCCGACACTACCTCAGGGACTTGCGGATCCGTCGGAGGCATACCTTTCGGAGGTTCAACAGACATACCCTCCGGAGACTGCGAATCAGCGCTGGGTTTGGGAGGTCGATGACTCTGATACATGTGTAATTTCACCGATTTGCGAGAGTCGAAGTACACTCCACACACAGGACAGGCATGAGGCTGAATCTCTCGAGCGACATGTGTGAGTTTGTGCTGTGTAGCCTGTAAAGTGTCACGCAGTTTGTCGTGCCACCGGGCAAGAACCTCCGTGGAAATGCCGATCACCTTGTTCGTACATGCATCCCGAGCATATGCATCTTTCAACCAGTCAGATACGCCAGCAACCTGGTATTTAGCAAGCAGATCATTGTCGCTGATATGATAGATGTGTGACGGACACGAGCAAATGGCTCTGAAGTGCTTCATAATAAGTGTCTGCAATTTACGTTGCAAAGTGGGGCCGACTAGGCAACAGTCCACTGCATACATAAGCGTCGGCCTGATAGTAGCCATCCACATCCGAATCCTCTGAGGAACACTGAGACCTCGCTTGCTCGTGAAGAACTTTTGTAATTGCCAAAACCGGACATTGGCCTTCTGCATCCTGTGCGCGACCGTCTGTGCTTCAAATTGATCGTATGAGATCTTGGCACCCAAATAAACGGTGGACCGCACCAAAGGAACATGTCGAGTGCCCTGCTCTCCTTCAATCACGAACACCAATTTGTCCCGGACCTTGGTGGTGAATTCGCTACGCGCTTTCTGTCGAAGATTGCCCCGTACTGTAAACAGTATTTGTGCCTTGTCATCATTCAGCGACATTCCGAACTCCTCAAGTGTTTCCATGATAACCGAAAGCTGCCAAATACAATTACGAAGTTCCTCGTAGCTGTGAAAGGTCCACGCGGAGTGCGTGTCATCTGCGTACTGTGTCAAGTGCTCCTGGCAGAATCGATTGCCGAGTTTTTCGTTGAGGCGTCGACATATAAGCGTCATGAATGCTAAAAAGATTGTTGGCGATCCTCGGCACCCCTGCTTTACTCCACGTCCCACCTGTATGCAGGAGGTATGTGAACCGTTGTGTATTTGGTACTCAGAGCAGCTGAGCCAGCCTAAGATAATGGCCGCCAAGTCTGGGGGCACCTGCGCCTGTGTAAAGGCAGTCCGGATATGATGCCACGGCACCCGATCAAAAGCAGAACTGAGATCCAAGCAAACTTGGATCCCGCCACATAGCTCCGACGGTTTCCATCCCTCAAACCGACGATGTATCGTATCAGCTTCCTGCTGACAAAGATGTCGAACGGCATCACAGTGTGCGAAAACGACTTGCAGTGCCTGTCTGGTTGACCTCCCAGGCATATAAGCATATAGTGGAAAAGATCTCGCCCAGTCCTGAACATGTGGCTTGAGTCGATCCACCAAAAGATGCATCACTGATTTGGCAACCGCATCCTGAAGTCCAATGGGACGCCAGTCCTTCACCTCCGATGTTTTCTTGCCTGGTTTTGGGAGGAAAATGAGCTCAGCTACACACCATACGCGTGGGAAGATGACATGCTCAGCATTCCACATATATCGAAGCAATTTGCATAGGACAGGAGCCAGTTCCTGTTCGCAAATTCGATACACCACACCCGGCACAGAATCAGATGACACCGCCTTGCGCATTGGTATCTGTTGAAGGTAGGCTCGCATTTCGGCTTCGTCGACCTGAAAGGTATCGGACAACTTCTGCTCTCCATGATCCTGATGTGCTCTGGCAGTGTCGTATAAGTCTTCATAGTACTTGACCATAGCCTGCAGTTCCTCTTGTGGAGACAGCATTTGTCCCTTCGGCTTGA